GTACACGGAAATACTTGACAAGGAGTCTCTGGGAGTCACAAACTTAGATAAGCAGATCTTCACCCTAATTAAATGAACTGTCTCTTGCAAACACCACTCCCCTTTCGCTCCTATTTATTCCCTATGGGAGAGACCATTCACCATCCACTTGTGCCTTTACTCCTGAGTTGACCTTTGTTCCTTAACTGTTCCCTTCTCCTGATAGCTCTGTGCACGCGCACATTAGGAACAGGCTCCAGCTGTTCTTCTGTCCCACTGATCTCTGACTCCGAAGGAGTTGATAACTGTCAGATGCCTCTGGCCCCATCTCTGCCTCCAATGCAGAGCACTCATCACAGCCTTCTCCGGACTCCAGGACTGGCCCATGTTCCTCCCCAACCTCCTCACTGAGTCTGCCGCTAGCTCTGCTGGCCGCTGGCAGGCCACAACATTAGCCCTCACACAGTCACTGCCTCCTGCGTGCACACCCAAGGGTGCAGGGCTGAGGCTGCACCACAAATCTAAGGTTGGCCGTGGTCCAGCCTGGATGGCTGCCACCAGGTTGAAGATCAGAGCCCCACTCACCAGCCTTTCACTGGGATCACCCCGTCCCCACGTGGGAAACCCACACTGCCAATCTCTCCCCCTCCCTTCATCCCTTCTGGAGTGCGGAGGAAGGGAGGAGATGGCAAGGAGACTGAATGGGACCTTTAGGACCATGGGGGGTTTGCTAGGTGTGATGGGCCATAACCGGGGTTGTGGGGGTGACGTGGCAGGTGAATGGCTTTTGGCACTGCAGGGGTGGGGGGCAGAAGCATAACTGCCCTCTCAGTATCAGGCGTGGAGGCAATGGAGGGGAGGGCAGACAAAAGGGGAAGCCACCGTTCCACAGGGTTTTTTTTTTTAACCTGCCAGAGGCTCCGGGCAGAGGCTTCTGATTTTGACCCCTCCTCCTGGTTAGCTGTGTGGCTCTCCACTCACTTCTCCCAGAGACGTGCACAGGCTTGTGTGCTTGCACACAGTGGGGAGGTGTCCAGTAGCAAGGGCTGTGCAGCCCACTGTGACCACCAGGCTGGCCCTCCAAGAAGCAGGTGCGGTGGTGGTGGCACCGGGACAGTGGGATGGAGGCACATGATACAGTCACCGGATGTCCCTGCTCCATCCCATGGGACAAGGTAGGAGGCTCCCTAGTACATCTAGCAGCTTGGACTGCATGCACCTCTGTCTTTGGTTACTGCTGCCACCGCACGCCAAGACAACTTGAGGCAGGGGTAGGGGGATACTGCTGAGGCAATGTGAGCAGGGGGTGGGGGGATACTGCGGTACACCACTGGCCCACCTACTCCATTTTTGCTTGCATTTGGACAGCAGATTGCTGCTGGATATTTCCTTGGTCCCCTTGCAGGTCTTGGCCTGTGCATGGAGCACATTCCGCCTGCATACCCAATGCATCTTGGCACCGCTGTGGGCTGCTGCCACATGCTGGACATGCATGCCAAGGGCAAGACCTGTGAGGGGGCCAAGGAGAAGAGGTGACTTGCTCTCCAACCACAAGCCAAAACAGACAGTGGGACGGAGTAAGGTCATCTAACGGTCTGCATCATGTGCCTTCCCACCTCCTGCTAATGCCGCTGTCGCGTGTGCTGCTGGGACGGCGAGCCTGGTGGAGCTGACTCCGGAGCCACACAGTCACCAGCTGAGAAGCTGGAAAACATCAGCCCCTACATACAAAGGGCAGTGAGCGAGTGATGGCTGATAGTTTCCAGCAGCCTTTGCATTGTCTCATGGCAGCAGCACCCCTATCCCCTGCGTCGCCTCACCTCACCTCCTGTGGGACAAACCTCCGGCTCACCGCTCCACCCACAAGAGACCTTTGGATTCCCCCCCCCAACACTGCCTGGCCCACGCGAGTGATGTCAAGCTGGCCACTCCCCTCAGCCCACGCCCAATCAGCCATGACCACCCTGGCCCCCGAGAGCCACAATGAAATCATGTTTGACACCTAACGTAACACACAGTTTGCAACTATTTATAAGTTGCTTAATTTACATAAGCACCAACATACAATTAAAAGCATATAAAAGTTGTGTTATTCTACTACCTAGCAATATTTTCTTACAATAGTTAAACATTCAGTCTGAATGAAAAATAACATTTTACATTAGCTGATAGAAAGCTTGTTCAGAAATGTATATCTTCCTTCAATTTGAATATGAATATAAATAATAATTGAATACTATAAATACCCTAGGTGACTAACAATGATTAAACTGCTAAATACAAACAGGTTTAATTTTAAAAAAAAAACCTAGAATTAAGATTAATCAAATTATTGTAAAGTAGTAAAATGTATGCCTTTTGCAAATTTTCTAAACATTGGAAGATTAGAAAGTAAATATAGCTTAAACAGGAGTGCACTCCAAATCATAGAAAAAATACAGGAAAATGTCTTCTCCTATATGCAAGATAAATGGAACTCAGTGAATCTGAAGTTCAAATATTTTGGTCACAAAATCAGAAGAGACAACTCATTGGAAAAGATCCTTATGTTGGGAAAGATTTGAAGGCAAAGGGAAAAGATGGCAGAGGATTAGATAGTATCATAGATGCAGTGGACATGAGTTTGGCAGACTCAAGCGGACACTGAAGGACAAGGAAGCCTGGCATGCTATGGTCCATGAGGTCGTGAAGAGTCAGACATGACTAACAACAAAAATATCAGTGGATCCATTATTAAAAGAAATTCTTTCCTAAAGATCTTGTTCACTGGACAGCACCCAAACATTTGGGCTTTAAGGGTACATGCCAGTATCTTAAATTGTGCCTGATAAGCAAGTGGAACTCTTACAGATATGTTATTCTTTTACTTTGCACTAGTTAGCAGTTTAGCTGCTATGTACCAATGCCAACTTTGATTAGTGAGGATGAAAGTGAAATTAATAAGGTATTGGAGAAAAGGGAATTCCAAAGTTAAGGGTTTTAAGTGAATAGCTCTATGGAGGATTAAAAAGAGGATGGAGAATTAAGAAACAGCAAAACTGGAGCTGTGGAAGAAAGAAAATGAGTTGACTTTCTGGGAGGGTGAGATTTGAGAGGGGAATTTTCTTTACAGAAATGTGAAGATATATTTGCTGGCACAGACAGAAACAAAACAGAGCAAGTTCACTGTCAGACAAAGATAAGTGAGGTCCATTCTTACCTTCTTTCCCCAATTGTTTTATACATATGTTGCTGTTTTTCTGCTTGTTAGTTGCCCAGAGTTATTTGACCAAAATTTACATAATAAAAAAATAATAGACAAAGTGAGAATTTTTAGAAATCTGGATTCAAACAAATGGGTACAAGAGGTCAAGATCACAGCATTAATCACTGAGAATCCCCAGTGACAGAAAACAGAATTGAACTACTCTGCAAATGGACTACTTGCTTTATAAATTTAAGTAAATAATTTATGTTTAATTTTTTGAATTAAATGCTAAGTACTGTTCTAGGTTACTACTGTACCTGGAGCAAAATAAGATCTAGAACGCTGTTAAAAGAAACAGCTGTGAGAGATAGTCCTTTGAAAGAAAGCATGCATTGTCACTGTAAATTGTTGAAAGAAATTAAAGAAAACTGCAAGTTCATCAATAACTACTTAAAGTAACAGTGGGACATAGGAGATAAGTATAATATGAAAATATTATATCTTAATTGTATTTACGCACTTGTATAATCATGTAAAGAAGCAGGGAGTACCTTAGCAAATACTAACATTAGTTACTGATTAGGCCAGCGATGGCTAACCTTTTTGTTGTCGCATGCCAAAAGTGCGTGCGCACGTGTGCCTGTACCCCTAATGCAATGCGCGCATGACTCTCCTGGGCTCCCCCTGCCCATGCGAAGCCCCGCAATCTCCCGCCCCGTGCATGTGCGCGTGACGCCCCTGCGCTCACCCATCCCTGCATGCGCCCCTCCCCCCACGCATGAGATACTAGAAAATCAGCTGATTGGTAGGAGGCACGTGTGCATGCGCAGTGGATCTGACCTGGGACGATGGCTCACGTGCCCTTAGAGATGGCTCTGCATGCCAGTTCCGGCACCTGTGCCATAGGTTTGCTATCATGAGACTAGGAAATCCTATTGACATCAATTATCTGCATCAAGAGAGACTCTGCTGTGTTTTTCTAGGATGTGGACTAACAAACCTCCTGTTCCACCTTTGCCTTCAAATTACCAATAACCATGTTTTTCACTTTTTTAAACATCCCACAGCAGAAGCTTGAAACCTTCATAACTTCAGCAGCCACCACTCACTCAGCTTTCATAAATATGTATCTCCATCCAGTATTTCCTCATTTCCCTATCTCCTTATAGTAACTGTTTTGGGATAATCAGATAATTTTTAAAAGTTCTGGAATACGGGGCAGAAAATATACTCTTATCGTCTATATTTCATTAATATTTTCAAAAATAATAGAGAATACTTCCTGACCTCACATTCTATTTTGATCATAGTATGTGATTTCTAATATCATAATATAAATGGGACAGTCCATGACTGTTTCTGTGAGTCAGAAACAGCTGTGAAAGTCTGACTCACAGACGAACACAGTACAGAAGCCTGATGATGGCAGATGAGATTCTGCCAAAACGTTGCTAGAACTTTAAAAGCACAACTATAATGACGTGGGAAAATACCCGAACAAA